GGAAGCCCCCCTACTCTCTCTCTTTGAAAATTTAATAAACTTCAAACATTAAACAGTTTCCATGTCCACAAGCTAAGCAATAGATTTGCAAAGCATTCACGCATTTAAATATGCAAAGGCAGCCGATCAAACGATACGCGCGAGCTGGTTCGCTCCTTGCTCGCGCTGGGGGCACTGCGCAAAGCCATGGCCCGGCTCGCGGCAAATGAAGCAACGTCCATCCCCGTCGCGACGCCACTTGTTCCAAGAGCGTTCGCCATTGCCTCGACCACGGTTATTCTGGTTGTACCGCTGGGGGTAGGAGGTGGTACGATCGGGGCAACTCTTTTTCATTGCCTCCACAATTTGAGCGGCGGACTTTACCGTCTTATCCTCCACCACCTCCCCATATTTAATCTTTAGGGCCACATTTGCCACGTCAAAGCCGCGTTGGTCAGCGGTGAACAGAAACAGAATCTTTTCCTCGGCCTCTTGTTCAATCTCTTTCCAATAGAGAGCCGCTTGTTCGCTTCCCTCGGAAGGCAAGGCACTCAACGCATGGCGAGCAATGATTTGAATTCTTTCAAAACCAAACATTTGAGTACGAACACCGTCGCTCTTAACGAGAGCAGATCGCAAATGCGGGCGTGCTGGAGGAATAGGAACGAGTGCCGATGACGAGTGGGGAGTGGGGGCGTGCGGAAGAGGGCGAGGGCCGTTACCTTCGTTAATTTCCTCGAAAATGCCACGCTCGCCTTCTTCCTCGTCCGTGGCCGCCTCGGGAGCCTCGACATGGCGTGTTGCTGGGCGAAGGTTCTCAGGATGAGCCGGCCTCCCGTTGGCGTGGTTGCGCTGGAGCATCGCCAAAAGCTCGGTCATTTGGTGAAGTGCGTCGACGTTGTGCGCCGGGTTGCTAACATTACGACGCTCCATACGGTCGCTCCGAGAAGGTGTAGCCCGAGCGTTCGCTGCCGAAGGAGAAGCGGGGCGTTCCATAACGCGTCTTGCAGGGGCGCCAGAAAGTTGCGCCAGAATCTGGAGCAGATTTGCCTGTGCAGTGTTGTCCAGACTCTCGAGAATCGCGGCGAAATCTGGACGAGCGGCTGCACGCGCGGTCTCGATTTCGTTCAGATTCTGCTGCGACGGGGGCCGCGAATTTCTCCCAGGCGAAAGATTCGCCACGCGCGCTGCTGACGCTGGCACGCGATCTCCCTGTCCCTCAGGCGCGTGCCTTTCCTGACCTGACGCATGCGCCTGAGGGGCCTGAGGGGCCCGAGGGGCCTGAGGGGCCGAGACTGCCGCGGCCACAGTGCCAACCTCCAGATTTCCGAATTTGGGAGGCACCTCGTGGTTGACGCGACTGCCAGGGGCGTCATCATTACGCCCCTGGCGGTTTTCTGCTCCTGCTGCAACAGTCGCGCCGGCAGGGCGGGATCTCACTCGAGGTCCGTCCTGATTGCGTTCGTCGGGGCGACTGTTACGAGCACCCGTCGTGGCGATTGGAGCCCGATGGTCGTCGTCGTTCCGGTTGGTTCCGCGAGCTGCGGCGCCAATTAAATCAAGAGCAGTAACTGCCGCGCGATGTTCATTTCGGGGCGAGCGAGACCTCTCCCTTCCAGAAGTTGAAGTTCTGTCTTCGTCTCGCCGAGGCGATCCACGCATTGATGAACTTCTGGTGTTAATGCGAGTAGGAGGAGGTCGTCCGTTAACGGCAGAAACAAATCCGCTCGCCATTTCGTTAAGTCTAGCAGCAAAAACGTCTTGAAGGAGGGTTGAGGGTTGATGAGATCCAAGTCTAACCATAGGAGGGAGATTGTGCCAACTCAAATTGAGATGAGTGAAATGAGACTAGGTGGCAGGTCTGTGGACCTGCCGAAGGATAAGATGGGAATGCCTCTTTATTGCATTCCCCTTTTCCGAAGCTTGTCACAATCATTAAATTTAGAAATATATTTCTAAATTATTCATATTAAAACAAAGGGATACAAGTTTTTTATAAAAGTACAAGGAATACGAAGAGATATAGTTAATAACCGTTTTGCTGTTGCTGTTGCGGTTCGATACAGTGACGACTCGGGCAACTGCTCAATAGCGAGTCAGTTGTTTGTCCTTGCTGTAACGCTGTATTTGTCAGGTCAAAAGTCGCTGACCTTTGACTTTCACATAACCTCCAGCAGTTGTTCAACCTCCGAGAGTTGACTTGCTAATGCTTCGATATGTTTTGCTTCGCTTCTGACTTGGTGTTTCGACACGACAGAAGCGCTAAATCAAGTGTTTCCAACAGTTTGTGATTTGTCAGGACTCAGGAAACAATTGTACCTTTGCAACCTTTCGGAACGGGAGCGCTGCGCAGTGCCACGTCACCCCACTCATTGTGTCGCGCACTTCACCAAGCAACGGAAAGAAATAAATAAAAAGTAGGGTTAAGCCGAAATATTAGTGTTTGAGGCGAGTCTGACAAGAGGCCAGCCTGACTAGAGGCCGTAGGAACATGCTCTAATGCAATATGTGCACAGTTCTAGAAGTTGAAAACAAATTGTGGTTATCACATCTGAAAAATGAGGGCTGTTTATATTCGTTATGAATTGAAGATTTCAATGGTACAGTGTAGTGACGTCATATGATCGCTACCGCGCTCACTGACCGCCGCCTCGTTCGGGTTTCTGAAAGGGGATTTCTGCTGCCTCGTTAGCCATCAGAGAGGTCTGTGATGGTTGATGTTCTTTTGGATGCTCTCGGAGGTAGAAAGCTTCTGCTTCTCCAGTGGGACAACACTGTAGATTTCTGTGAGGATAATTCTGCATTTTCGTTGAGACAGTTAGCAACACGATGGCTTTGACTGGGATCAAGGCCGTGAAGAATCCTGTCCGCGTTGTGCTGCAACGGATTGCACAATTGATGTTCATCGTGATTGGAGTGAGCATCTGGCTTTCCTCTACCCCGTAGCCGTATTCGATCGTGATGAGTAATTACTGTGACCACGCTTTACAGATTTCAGGACTGCTTATGATCGCAATGATCCTCGCCTTCCAGCAAAAGCCGAACTTCGCCCCCGGGTGGTATGCATTTTAGATTTAGCAAATGGATATACCTCCCTCGGCGGAGTGACAAACCTTCCATTCTACAGGTGTATTATCGTCCTTGGTGTCTTGACCGTTGGAGCTTCTGTGTTGGGATTCGCGGGCTTCCTTAACTCTGGTTGCTTCATTTGTCAATCAGCGATTCTATCTTTGGCAGCAGTCGGCTGTGGTGCATTCACCCTGGCTTTGTTTGTTTCTGTAAGTTCGACACAGCGACCATTTATGGAGTCTGGAAACCTAATGTGTAATTTTTTTTGCAGAAGCCGGCCATTGCAAGGACCATCAACTCACGTCAGTGGGACGACGGCAAGGTAAACTACATTTCGATGCACATGAAGAGAAATATCAGTCCACCCCTTAATGCCATCTATGTTCACAGGTTTGGACTTTCTTAACAAAGATCCAATGGGTCTTCTTATCGGTCCTCATTTTGGAGGTGAGGTCCCTTGTCGTACTAAGTTCATCCCCAGTAGGTTACACGGACTTCGTAGTGTCCCAACTGTTGACATGTTGATGACATTATCTGATAATTATGTGTGCAGGTGTTGGCCCTCGTAGTCTCTGCAATTACACACGCTTGCATTCCCGTGGAAATTTATGAGGTAGGAACAAGGCACCAGTGGGTAATGTTGTAGCGTGCACTCCCCCTTCTGGCCAGATACAACCAACCTGCTTGTACAGAGCCTTGAGGAGCAACAGCGACAACGAGACGCAGAAATGCATAAGCTGAAGAAGACAGTGTAAGCCTCTTCCATTTCCACAAAGACGACGGTGCTTAAATTCTACACCTGGCGTCTAACCCATCTATACATTCCAGGGAGCAGCAGAAAACGAGAACGGAGAACACGACGGCAGCATCGCTTGCAAACAAGATGCGGTCAAAATATGGAAAGTGGGTTTTAACCAAACCAACCAGTTTCTGCTCTGCACTACACATGTGTCACTGAGAGTGAATTTTGCAGGTGGACAGATGAAGACTTTGGTGAAGGCAGATCAATCTGGTAGCTTCAATGCCACATTATGCTATGATGTCATCAGGCTTGCTCAAAGACTTTGTTGGCATATTCGTCAGTGACAGCAAGAAAGCTTTAGTACCGTACATTACAAGCTGTTGTCAATCTACCATAGAAACAGGAGCTACAAAACTAATCTAAACACATGGTTCTATGCAAAAGCAAATCAAGTTTGTCTTTTACCTAGTTCTACCCAATATAATCTGCCAGCTATTATTTTGATCCATTAGGTGTCAGTAGCTTCCATGCTACAGACATGAGGGACCTCTTATGGGACCTCTTAGGCAATGTTGACGCGTCTTGGTCAGGTGACGGAGCCGGCTCTGATAGGGGCAAGGGGACTACAGCAGCCAGAGAGCGAATACGCTCATGGCCAAGTGGGCTAAGCCGATAGAGGTTGGATGTGGCATTGAGGGGGTTTGATGGAGCTGCAGAGCTGCATGCCTCCAGCAGCTGTGTTGTGCTATCAGCCATGTTGTGAGCTGTGCGGTTGGCTTCCTCCAGTGCACTCCTTATGTGAGGGTCACGGTCAAAGTTGAACCGGAGCATCAGTGACGATAGCAGGGAGTGGATGCTCGATGCATACGCTTGATGCTGTTGTGTTGGGGAAGGGGTGGAAGGTGAGTTGTTTAAGTCGTGGTTTGAATCAATTGGAACAATGGAAATTGAAAAACTGTCAACAAGGAACTGCATACAGAGCCATCACCGGACAGGAAACAAAGATTAATAAACAATCACCTGGACAGCTTCAAGCCTTCGTTGCGATTGAAGCTTTGCCAGTTTTTCTGCCAGGGACGCCTTCTCGAGTGCCTCCTGGAGAATCAAACAAATCATAGGTCAAGAGTAAGCATTCATTTAATAAAATAAGCAGAATGTGGAACACGAGATTACAGGCCTTGAACGTGCAAGCATGCAAACATCTCAGTGTTCAGCTTACCCGATGTAGCTGCTGTTGCATGAGATGCACGGTCGACTGAAGCGTCTTTACGGACCCCTGCAAGGGATAAAGAGGGTTAGGGAGGGATACAGTTAGGCAACATACAAATCGTGCACGCAGTGCACGCAACAATACCAATCACGGCACTGAAACGCTCGAAACCACCACAAGATTTTCCACAGCAACCCATCATGAAACGGACAATCGACCACTCACCAACGCGTGCGATAGCAGCATCGTATCCAAGCTCGTGTGCTGCAGCGCCTCGCGGAACTGCTCCTGCTCCCGCACCGCGTCCGCCATCTCCAGCACCATGCGCTCCACCGCGCTCGCCAGCTGCCCGCGCTCCGCCTCCACCTTCGCCAGCCGCAGCTTCGTCTGCTCCAGCTCCTTCGCCAGTTCCGATTCCGCGGATTCCGCCCCCGACTGCGCCGCGCCCGCGCCTGCGCTGAGCCTGCGCACTCCCGCCACCTCGCTCCGCGCCTGCTGGAGGGCCTCGTGCAGGCGCTCCACCTCCTCGCTCAGGCGCTCGCACTCCTTCTCCCACGCTTCCGCCTGCGCCTTATCCTTCCGCCACTCCCTCTCCTTCTCCGCCTCCCGCTTCTGCTCCTGCTCCCTCTCCTCCTCCAGTTCTTTCTGCCGCTCCAGTTGCCTCATTCTCTCTCGTTCCTGTTCCCTCCGCCGCTCCACCTCCCGTCGCAGCTCCTTCCCCCTCTCGTCTGCCCGTTCCTTCTCCCTCTCCCGCTGCTCAGAGTGCTCCATCTCCCTCGCCCGTTCTCTCTCCTTCCTCTCCGCCCGATCACTCTCCCGTTTCGCGGCGTTGGCTTGTTCTAGCAGCCGTCGCCTTTCCCCGCTCTCCGTCGTTTTCCCGTGCGACCATTCCTTCCGCGTCTCCCCCTGGAGGGGATTCTGATTTCGCCGTCCGATCTCAACCACGCGCTTTTCCTCTATACGTCGCTTCTCCCCAGCAACAACCGCCCCCACCTTCCCCATTTCCCGCGCTAGCTGCCTCTTCCGCTCCTCCCGCAGAAATTCCCGCTTCGCCTCCCACTCCCGCGCCTTTGCCCGGTCGTCTTCCCCCCGTTCCCAGCGCAAAGTCTCCGCTCCGTCCATTAACTCCCCCTTCCGCAATTCTCTACGATACTCCATCTCCCACTTGCTCTCTCTCTCCTTTTCCAATGCCAACGCTATCAGCGCGCTTGCGCAGCCGCCCTCCCACTCCGCCGATTCCCCATCCGCGATCCCCGCGCGACGAGGTCCGCGCTCCGCCGACTGCGGACGGCCTTCCGCCGGCCGCCGGAACGACCCCGCTCCGCCCCCCTCGCGCTGGACACGCTCCGCGGAATGCGCACGGCTCCGCCGCGGTAGGCCGGCTCGGTCCGCCGTAGCGAGCGGTTCGCCTAGCTTACCAATAGCACTCGCTGCGTCGCACGGTGGCGACGGCGGTGATTCAAACACGGCCGCGCGATCTACGGCGCGCTCTTTCTCTTTCTTCGACCCGGCGACGCTCTTCGTCGCGACAGCGCGATCAACGGCGTTCCTCGCGGCGAGCTCTAGCAGCGCGTCGCGCTCCTCCACGACGAGCTGGAGGCACTTCTCGAGGCTCCGCTTCTCCTCGCGTACTATCTCCAGCTCGCCGACTGCCGTCCTGCCTGTCCCCCCTAGCTCGCTAACTGCCGTCCTGCTACTAATACCCCCTAGCTCGTCGCCCTTAGTTCGACTAGGTTGTTTCTGCTGCTGCTGTTTCTCTCGCGTCTCTATCACGTGATTCCCCGTCCGCATATTCCCGCGCTCTGTAGCCGATGTTCGGCACAGCAGTATTGATTGACGCGTGAGCTTAAAATTCCTACTAAGCCATTTTCTGCTACGAATAATCTACCCATGAGCAACTATACTCGACAGCCGCCAAGCGGCTGTTTAGATATGGCATGCTGATCGATCTCTCGCGCTCTACCACTGATACTGCCTTATTATCTCTCATGCGGACTGCCGCCCTTCTCCTGTGACTGCGAGGCCGTTCGATCCAATTCCATTCCATGCTCAACGAGAGCGCGAGAAGAGTGAAAGTCACATGAAATGAAAGTCATCGTGACTCCTAACCGACAAACGTTATTCCAGGCGATCTTTGTCCGTCCGTGTTCTACCTGGTCCTGTCACCATGACAAAGTGGTGGTGGGTGGCATGTTGTATCCCTCTTAACAACCACAGGTAACGCAGGAGAGAGAACTCTCTTCACAATTCTTTTCGGTACTGTGCCATCCAGCAATGCTTTTTTCAGAGGTGAGACAGAAACCTTCCTCGCCGCAGTCCACGGAAACAACACAGCGAGTATGTACACTACAGTCTCCGTTCCGTACCACAAAGCAAAATCTCAATCAACAGAGGCTCGAGGCCGAGGCTAGCAAGTGGCGAGTCAACTTCCTGTTGGTGGAAGAAATGCCAAACCTAGCATTCAGTTATGCTTTGGAAAACCAATGTCATTCGACACAGTGTGCGACGCGATGGCTCTGTCTGCAGTAGGGATGGGCATTGCATTGCATCCATGCCTGGTCCTGAGCGGCACATTTGTGTGAATGCGACGCGCATCTGCTTGTTTCGGGGAAAGCGTAACGAACAAGACCAGAGGGGACCCCACCACCTCCAGCAGCGGTCGGAGGCAGTTGAGGCCGTTCCAATCACGGACGAGCCGCCACTGGTGCAGAAGTGTTTATGTCGAGCGTGATCTTACGCCAAAATTATGGCAGTGTCTGTTTCGTGCATTTGCTAAGGACCAAAAGATTTAGCATCGCATATTTCCTCGCATTGGATATCACTACACCTTATCTATATAACTCCATAGATCGTGCTAATCGTCAAACAGGAAAATAAAAGTAAAATAATCAACAAACAAACTTTTTACCTATAATGTTTTGTGCCTACTTACTTGCTATTCCATTTATTGAGGAATGTTTGTGTTACACCTGTGGTGTTCTTTTTGACTGGATTGCGCATGCCAGCCAGGGCTGACGTTTCATTTTAAGCCTCCCTGATTCCGGGGAACATTTTCCCCCTCGATTATGGGAGCACATTTTCCAGAAAAGCAGTACCCTGATTGCTCAGGGTTGTAAAGTAGTTAACAATGATAGTTCAGGGTCGAGAACTGAACATCAGAGTAGTAACGCGCGCTTTGTTACCGGGGACAATATCCCCACTCTCCATAAAGTCTGCGCGCTGTGTTTCCTGCTGACTGTACACTCGACTGATTTGTGCAGGGCGGGTGTGATTGACCTGTTCGAGTCACAGATTTCCGCTGTCAGAGCCTATTTCGACCAATCCCAGCAAAGTATATCTGACATTGCACATTCACGCGATTTCGATGGTAGGTGTATCAGAACGAAGTTTCGAAGAAACTTCGTCTCGATAAAGCGGGAAGGGGGGGGATTACGCACATGCGGGGGGATCACTGCGATCAATCCAAGGCGGGGTCATCGGAACGAAACTTCCGAGAAACTTCTTCTCGATAAGTCAGGGTCCACACAGTCGATACTCTGTTAAGTCAGGGTCCACTAACAGCCTAGTCTGTTACACTGTACTCAAAATCAGGGATAGCTAAACTATTATTCTGATTGGATCATGGCTGGAAATTCAATAACTCTGAAATTTCAGTCTCCACGAAGTGGAAAGCCTGAAATCACTCTGAAATCAGGGTAATTACCCTGATAAAATCAGCCCTGATGCCAGCGGGTTACCGGCAGGGCTAATGCTATCAGACTAGATAGTATGATTAGTCTGACCAATCAGACCACCCAGTTTGTGAAAAATGTACTTCCAGTGTAATAAAAAAATATTACTGAGAGCCTCATGGTTATTGTTTTATGGCCCCTGATTCACTCTACAGAGTATAGATTTTGTCGTCCCTTCACATGCGTAATCATCTCCCCACCCAGTGTGGCTGTATTTTTGTTCGTGTGGGCAGGAAACCACGTAAAGGGGACAAAAGCAGTTGGTGCGCTGTACAGAGCACAGCAGCCCAATGTGGCGCGCTGCCCCCAGCATGGCAACTTGTGTGATGCTCGGTAGGCATGCGCACCGCGCCACCCTCACGGAATGTGATGGATCGTATGTGATTGGTGGCATGGCACACCACCTTCGTGTGCTGGCTTTGAGGGATGAATTCATCCCTGAATCCCAAGGCAGATTCTTTCTGCAAACCCTAGCTCTGAAGGTGAACCACTTTCCTTGCGCCACGGCTTTCGTCCTGGCCCCTCACCGTCTGCTTCAACTCGTTCTTTCCAACTCAATGGGTCCCCAAAACCAGTGCCAGATTTCATTCCACCAGCGTTTTGCTGCTCTTTTTCTCTCTCGCCATGGCGTCCTTACCTCCCGCCGAAGACTCGCCCGACCCCGTCCCGGAAAAGCCACTCGATCAACGGCAAAGCGGCCTCGATTTTCTTAGGGCTAGCGTAGCTCCTGTCACACCTGATCCTCTGCGAACCGCTGCCGTTGTTAATACCGACGAGGTGCCGTTGGTTCCCTGTGGCGATCCGAAATCAGCAGCATTCACTCTCCCTCCTGCCGTTGCGTCGTCCAGCAAAGGTCCGCAACCGGCCCCCAATCTAGAGTATGCACCAGCGGCGTTCACTCTCCCACCCGCCATCGCGTCGTCGAGTAAAGGCCCTCCCTCGGCAATTGGTAGCATCGAATTCGACCATGCCGCTCCCGCGTCTGAGGGACGTTCGGCAAAAAAAGCACGCACGATCTTGCTCAAGGGGAAGTTCCAGCAGAGCACGCTGACGTTCGGCGGTGTGCGCGTGCCACCACCAGAGGCCGCCGAAGAGTCCGAACCCGAACCTGCGGATACACCCGTACGCGAGGACACCAAGTCTCCCGTCCTGTCAAGGGCCGAGGTAATGGAGCAGAAGTTCATCGAGGCAAGTCTGAAATACGGCAGTCAGTGGTTGCCCAAATTCCCGTGGCTTCTTTTGGTTCGCGCTAAAGATGGTGGCCCCAGTGTGAAGTGCAGCGTGTGTCTCTCGTCCAGCAAGGAGACTACCAAGTACTCAGGTCCTGGAGACGGCGGACGAGACATGCAGACACAGACCATGCGCATCCACGAGCACACATCGGTACAAAAGGAGGCGATGCAGCGACATGCGATTGCGGAGGCTATTTCGAAGGGCCAGCCAAAGATCGACTGCTTCATCAACGTAGATGTTGAGGGAAGGCGCGCGGTCCGGCTGATGAGGTCGGTGCAGTTTCTGTGCCAGGAGGACGCGCCCATCAGCATGTTCCCGAAGCTGATGCGGCATCTCGCTGAGCAGGACACACCCGAAATCCCAAAGCAATCCTACGGGGTGTACCTCACGAGGTTTGTTATGTATATTGTACTTTAACCGCCCGTGATCAATACGTCATTTAATTCTGATGTTTTTGTTTGCCGTACCCCTTGCAGATACGGGTTCCAGCAGATGGCGCACTGCCTCAGCACGTGGTTTACTCGGGAGCAGATGCAGCACATTGCCTCTTCGCCCTTCCTCGGCTTGAGCACGGACAAGAGCACCGACGGGACTCGCGGGAAGCATATGATTCTGTACATAACTTTCTTGCGCAATCGTCGTGTCGCTACCGAATATCTCACCCTTCTAACTGTTGAGAGGGCGGATGCAGCTTTGCTCTTGGCAATTCTGCTTAACCACTTGCACACTACCAACATTGACATCAACAACGTGGTGGGCATCAGCACGGACGGAGTGTCGGTGATGATTGGTTGCGACAACGGGCTCGTGACTCGACTTCAGGAACATGTGCCGCATCTTGTGTCAACTCACTGCATCGCACACAGGTGAGACAATCAACTGCAAATATATGCTATTGTATTGTGTTTTTTAACCCGATAGTAGTCTTTCTGACGATGTTGTCTGCCTCAAACTGCAGGGAGGCATTGGCGGTGAAGGACTCCGCCACGGCTAATCCAGATCTCGCCATGGTGGACAGCGTTGTGCGGACGCTGGCGGAACGCCTAGGCAGCTCAAGCCACTGGAGCTAGAGGTTCAAGTACCTGCAACGCATCATATACAACACGAATCTCGAGGTTTAGGGAATCCACGCCGTGCGATGGCTGTCACGGGGCGACGCGGTGAAGCGACAGTGCAAGGTGCTTGGAGCCGCAATTGTTATGTTCCACGAGAAGGAGCACGAGTTGTATGGGACTGTGACGTCGTACAAGTTCCAGTTCTGCCTCTTCTTCCTCGCTGGCATCCTCGGCGACATGAACAATCTCAACCGTTCATTCCAGAAGCGTCAGGTGAGCCAGGGTCTGCTGCTTGGCCATGTTCTCAGTATAAGCATCTTCTAACCTACTCTCACGCTTGTGCGCAGGTCGATGTCACAGAGGTGGCAAAGACCGTCGAGTCGATCACCGGCGACCTCGAGCACAGGTACCTCGATACCAACGCCTCGTTCGGTGGAAGCGGCAACGGGTGGCTGCCGAAGTTTCTGATGCTGTATGGGAAGCGGTCGGGGCAGACGGTCAAAGTGCGTGGCACGGATGCAGAGGGCCACCCTATTAACCACTCATACATCCAGCACGAGAGGAAGATGAAGGGCCACATCTTCAAGAGCTGCTACAAGGATTGCATGAGGCTGTGTCGCAAATTTGCAAAGGACTGCGTCGACCGGCTCCTGTTTCGCCTGGACGACCTGCGGGGGATGGGGCCGACGAAGCTGTTTCGCGCTTCGAAGTGGCCGAAAAGCAAGCACGCCCGTGAACGCAAGTGCCAGGACTGGCTGACTGGCTGCAGCGCCCTGTTCAAGAACAAGCTCCCAGGGTTTGACCAGAGGAAAGCCTCGCCGAGGCTGGCTACGTGGTGCCCCATCATGGAGTCTCACCACGAGGAGGAGTCCTTCGCGCAGGGCCTGTCTAACTTCATGGGGAGCGGCGACGCTTGGAGGTATTTATGTCACCGTGCTTAGTATATGCCATATGATTGACCTGCAGCTGACGCTGTTCCTAATATGTTTTTGTTTCCTCGTGTTTCTTTCCCAGCGAGGCGGCTCTCGAGGAGGAGTTCGTGGAGTCCGACGACGAGGGTGACGAGCGGGAGATGGATCAGGAGATTGAGCAGTCGCCACCCCGAGATTACTCAGATGAAGAAGAAGACAACCCCTTCCTTTTCGATGGCGAGGAGGGGGAAGAGACTTACCACATAGATAAGCCACTACACTAGGATTCTGATTGTAATGTAGCTTGTGTTGTTGTGTAGTGATGTAAGGAGGACTTTCCGCGTGCATTTTTTTTTTTCAAGGACCCTGATTTTAACTTGCCAACCCTGAGAGAACAGACTACCACTTTCCTGGAAAATGAGCAATCAGACTGGTCAAAATCTGGCCGAAGTAGCCTAAATGATTATTTTTTTAGAGGGATCAGGGGGGCCAAATTTGAAACTTCAGCCCTGATTACCGGAATTTAGTACCATGTCGAAGGGTTTGTTTGACCGCCTGACTTGAACATTACGCATTTGTGTTTCGACACAAACATTGGATGCAAAGCCAGAGACATGTACCGTCAGCCCCCGGATAGTAGCGCCCCTGGGGGTATAAAAAAACACTGCTTTTAAGGGGGTGCGCTTATAATCGAGGAAATTTATATGCGCCGGCGTTTATAAAATGGCAAAAATGAAATGTATTGTTTTAACATGAAATTGAAGCCTTTTCAAAAGGGGATTCAATCCACATCTAGAGCGTTCGTATCCGTGCATGAAAAGTGCGTGAAATGGCCAACAAGGCGTGGAATCACGCCCATCACGCCTTGCTGGCCTGGCCAGATTCATCGAACATGAATCTGGCCCATGCTAGCGCACACGTAGTTTAGGGTGCGACTGCCCAATCAGGGTCGCATGCCGTGCCAGGTACGACTCTGTACAACCACGCAATTGGCAGCCCCGGCAAGATTCCACTCCACCGAGGCATTGACCTCACCACCTCAGCTCCTCTGCGGGGGGATCTTGACAGTTTTCCCCCTTTCCCTGCAGAGGAACCCGGGCCGCGAAGTTGGAGGGGTCTCGGGCGAGGGTTTCAAACGAGGCTCATTCTCTTCGTTTTCTTCAGTTTTCTTGTTTTCCCTCGGCCTGCCTAGGCCATGGCGGGCCTTCCAGGCACCCACTTCCTATTTAGCCGTCGACCTGTTGTTGGCAACACTCGCGATTACTCTCAGTGGCAGAGTCGCCCAGCGCCTCCCGCTCCTCCAGCGCCTCCTGCTCCTCCTGCTCCTCCTGTGCCTCCTGCTCCTCCAGCACCTCCTGCTCCTCCCGCTCCGCCTATCGTCGTCGTCAACGGTCGTCCTGTTCTACAGCTCCTCCCTCGCGGTTACTCAGCTTTCGACGCGTACATCTCCGAGCCCGAGCGCAGCGGCGACGATGAACCCGTCCCCGGTCTGTCGCCACGCTGGGGAGAGGCGGAAGACTGCCCGTACGACGAATCCGCCACTGGTGCTGAAGACGATGTTGAGTGGTGGGCGGCCGACGGTCTTCCCGAGGACCTGCCTGTCCCTAGTTTCCCCCCGCCTAAAAAGAAACGGCCCCACCCCTCCAAACATAATCGTGATGCCCGCCCCCCGTCCCCCAGGAGCAAGCCTTCAACGCACAAGCGCAACTCCTACACTTCCCTGGAGAAGCTGCAGTGGATTGCAAAGTTGGAGTCCGGAGCTGTGAGTGTGCGGAGAATGTCCCGCGACACTGGTATCTCCCGAAAGTCCCTGTCAGAGTGGAAGTCGCGGAAGGGTGAGCTGGAAGGTGCGCATGGGGCTCGCAAGCGCCTTCACGGGCGTGGTCGGGCGTCGTGATACCGCGACATGGAGATCGAGGTGTACTCACGTGTTCTTGCCCACCGGAAAAAGTGTCTCGCCGTGTCCGTCGGCCGATTGCAGAAGTGGTCACATGATGTGATGAAGATCCTGCATCCTAAGGTAAAGTGGGCTGGATCTCAGAGGTGGACTGAGCGTTTTCGACGGCACTGGAACCTCACTACTCGAGCGAAGACCAGAGTCGGCCAGAAGCTGTCGTCTGGTGAGTCGGTGTTTGTGCTGTCGCTCTCGTTTATGGCTGCTTACGACCTTCGAAATTCTAATTTACTTCTTTTGTTTGTCTCTCCCATCCTTCCCTTGCAGAGTGTGAGACATAGGTGTAGAACTTCTGGAAGTTCGTGCGACACTCCCGCCGTCAGTACGGCATCGACAACCGCTGGATTATTAATGCCGATCAAACGCTACTATGGCTCGAGATGCCAGCTGAACGCACGGTCGAGGAGGTGGGGATCCGCTCCGTGCCCATCCGCAGCGGCGGCTATCAAAAAGAACGCGTGACGGTGATGCTCGCCTGCACCGCCAGCGGCGAGAAGCTCAAGCCTTGGGTCTTCTTTAAGCGCAAGACAATTCCTAAGGGGAATTTCCCCTCCGGTAAGCCGAGCAGCTTGTGCAGTGACGGTGTCATTTGCATGTGATATTTTTTTTCTTATGTGATGCTAATCTGTCTGTACGCCTTGTTCGGATGTGCAGATGTTGTGGTCGCCGTACATCCCAACAGTTGGATGGACGCTGACGTCATCTTGCTTCCCTACGCCCATCAACAGCAAGGCGTGGCGGAACGGATGAATCGAACTCTCCAGAATACCATGCGCAAATTACTGCGTGGCATGCGACTGCCCAATCACCAATGGCCTGAAGCGATGGACCACGCTGTCATGCTGCACAACTTGCTTTCGTCGTCATCACTGCCGAACAGCGCATCACCGCACCTGCTGTGGACAGGAAAACAGGGCAGCACAAAAATGTTAAGGGTTTTCGGATGCATGGTACAGTACCGACCCCCATCTGCACGAGCCGGCCGATTTTCCCAACGCGCACAGTGGGGACTACACCTGGGCATCGAAAGAAATTACAACGCGTGGAAGATTTTCGACGTCCACTCCAAAGAAACATTAGTAGCACGTGATGTCATTTTCTACGAATGACTCACCCTTCCGACATACCTTGCCAAGCTGACAGAAGACCGGGACCCCACAGGTGGTTTCCGTGGTGATCGAGCCTTCGCCTCGGCAGCAGACGAAGCTGACTGGGACGAGCAGAACGTGGATAACGCCTCGGAAGAAGCAGGACCACTCCCATACTGCTCCGTGCCTATCCCGATGGACGACGAAACTCCTCGCGAAAGCGTCAACGCCGAAACTTATTTCAACTGCGCCGACACCGGTTACGTTACACCTGCAGAAGTCAACACCAACGAAGCAGAACGCATAGGGCCCAACTTCATACCTGACCCTGAAACAGGCGACGAAGCAGCTTATCCCGCGGACACAACTCTCCCCCGCTACACACAGAGTGGCCTTCAGATACTCGGCCTAGTCACCGCGGTCCACGGCACCGAAACTCTTAAGGAGCCTGCCACAATTCAGCAGGCTCTTGGGGGGGAACATAGGGAAAAATGGCGTGAAGCCATGGACAAGGAACTCGAAGCACTGAAGGAGCGCAACACCTGGAAAGTGGTCCCTATCGGCGTGGCACGAAACAAGACAATACTCACCGGGAAGTGGGTCTTCCGTGTGAAGACGAAAGCAGATGGCACCATTGACAAGTTCAAGGCACCATGGGTCGTACGCGGCTTCGACCAAGAGCACGGACGCGATTTCACCGAGACATTCGCCCCGGTCAGTCGACACACCTCACTACGGATTCTTCTCGCGATCGCCGCTATGAAGAAAAAGAAACTGCGGCAAATCGACGTCGCCAATGCATTCCTTTACGCACCTGATGACGCCGAAATCTACGTCGAACTCCCACATGGTTCCCACGGAGAGCCCAACCAAGTCTGTCAGCTGCAAAAATCCCTGTACGGGATCAAACAGGCCCCGAGACTGTGGCAGCAGTACTTACACGCTCGACTCACTCGCATCGGATTCCAGCAGCTACCGCACGACCAAGGCATGTACCGGCTCACGAAAGGCGACGACTACATTCTATTGATTGTCTACGTAGATGATCTACTCTACATCGGGTCGACCGACAACGTTACTACCTGGTTCGAAGGGGAGTTACAGAAAGACCTCACGCTCACAGTCTCATCTACCGTCACGCAGTACCTCGGTCTCAATATCCAGGAAGGAGAAAGCGCGATCTATCTCAACGCCGCAAAATATACCGATACCATCTGTGAAATGAACAACAGGAATGAGAGAAGAGGTGGATTGCACTGGCAAGCAGTTGAGTACATATAGGAAACCCTAGATTGGGCTGTACTCACTATTGAGTACCCCACTGCAGGCTAGACAAATATAACATTCTGACACACCCCCATAGCCAAAGTGGGGTGTAATCAGCACAAGAAGCAAAGCAAAACAAAAGACAAGCTCAGGGTGGATCACAATGTCACCACACATTCTGAGCACAAGTAAGCAAGCAATAGTTCACAACAATAGTAAGCAAAGCTAGAAGCTATCACAGAGGGCAAGTGTGGAGGAGGAGGGACTATGAGAGGAGAGGAGGTAGAGGGCGGCAGCTGAAGTTGCTGGCACACGGCGCAATTGGAGCAACTGGCACACGGGCAACTGGAGCAACTGGCACACTGGCAACTGGAGCAACTGGCACACGGGCTACTGGAGTAACTGGCTCCGCGGCTAACTCTGAGCGGCAGGAGCAACGGACTCACAGGCGACTGGAGCAACTGGCTCACGGGCGACTGGCGCAACGGGCTCACGGGCGACTGGCGCAACGGTCTCACGGGCGACTGGAGCTGCGGGCTTCACGGCGGCCACCCCCCTTCAACCTCCCCAAACTATCCCACCCCCATTTCACACACCCCCTGCTGCACCCTAGGTTCACTCACACCCCACCCCCTAGTACCATTCCGTCGACTCCCACACACCCACCCCCCTCAGCGGCAGCTGCAGCAGTGGGAGACAGAGGAGGAGGAGCAGGGGTGAACACACACCCGCCATCCCTACTCGCCACCCCCAAACCCTAACACAGGGCAGGGCGGGATGGCGGGTAGGGAGGGTACGGGGGGGGGGGGGGGGGGGGGGGGGGGGCGACGCGCGGCCTCCCAGGGCGCCAACACAGGCGGCAGAAGGGGCGACGCCCGCCCCCCCCCCCCAGATCGCCCCTCCCGTCGCCTGTCGAGGCGACCTGAGGGGGGCCGCGCGCGGCCCCCCAGGGCGCCGCGACGGGCGACGGGAAAAGAGGGGCGGGGGGGGGGGGGCGGGGCGCGGGCCCCGGGTGCGCCGCGACATGGCCGGGTAGGGCCGGGGCAGGGTCGGGGCAGGGGCCGCGACGGGGGCCGCGACGGGAGGCCGCGACGGGGGGCCGCGACGGGGGGGGCAGCGACGGGGGGCCGCGACGTGGGCGACGGGGCAGGTGCCGCGACGGGGGCCGCGACGGGGGGCCGCGACGGGGGGCCGCGACGGGGGGCCGCGACAGGGGCCGCGACGTGGGGCCGCGACGGGGGGCCGCGACGTAGGGCCGCGACGGGGAGCCGCGACGGGGGCCGCGACGGGGGGCCGCGACGTAGGGCCACGACGGGGGGCCGCGACGGGGGGCCGCGACTGAGGGCCGCGACGGGGGGCCGCGACTGAGGGCCGCGACGGGGGGCCGCGACAGGGCGACGGAGCAGGGCCGGGGCTAGGTCGTGACGGGGCCGCGAAGGGCCGCGACAGGGTCGCGAAGGGGCTACAAAGGGCCGCGACAGGGTCGCGAAGGGGCCACGAAGGGCCGTGATGGGGTCGCTAAGGGGCCACGAAGGGGCCGTTAAGGGGCCGCGAAGGGGCCGCGAAAGGCGCTTCGGGCAGCAGGGCAGTGAAAAAAAAAAAAGTTTAAGTTTAAGTGGTGGGCCCGAGGAAGGATCGGTCTAGCTCTATACCATGTGAAATGAACAACAGGAATGAGAGAAGAGGTGGATTGCACTAGCAAGCAGTTGAGTACATATAGGAAACCCTAGATTGGGCTGTACTCACTATTGAGTACCCCACTGCAGGCTAGACAAATATAACATTCTGACACCATCGCCAAACGCTTCGCACTCACGCCAACTACCATCTCTACGCCATACCGCTACACGGCAGGAAACAACAAGGAAGAATCCGCTCCACTAAAGCCCGCCGGCATACGCCACTACCAGAGAAAGCTGGGATGTCTTCTCTTCGCAGCTGTTACCTGCCGCCCGGACCTATCATACTCCGCAAGTCAACTCGCCACCTACCTCAAAAGGCCCGAAGCGGAACACATGACGGAACTAGACCGCGCTCTTCACTACCTCGTTAGTACTCCAACGATCGGCCTGATCTACTACAAGAACAAAACTACAACGCCCAAATTAATCGGCTACGTCGACGCCGACCACGCCGGGGATTCTGACAACAGGCGCTCGCGCACAGGCTACATCTACCGTCTCGAGCCTATCGGACCTATCTCGTGGCAGTCGAGTAAGCAGGAATTAATCGCTCTCTCCTCAGCCGAAGCAGAATATATCGCACTCAGTTCAGCCACCAAGGAAGGATTGTACCTTCGCGAACTCCTGGAGGAAGCGAAGCTGGCTCAGTTACACAGCTTCTCCTTGTTCTGCGACAACCAGTCGGCAATTCGCATAGCCAACAAAAACGGATTCGCGAACAGGACAAAGCATATCGCCCTGCGATATTTCTTCGTAAAGGACGAGATCGAGAAGGGGAGACTTGAGCTGTCTTACTGTCCCACATCCGAGATGGCAGCTGATTACTTGACCAAGAAGCTCGGAAAGTCGAAGTTCGAATATTGCATGCTGCTTACTGGACAGAGCCACGTCACCAGCAGCGACACTCCAGAAGCGAAGGGGAGCGTTGGAAACAATTGATTTAAGCGCCTCTGTCGTGTCGAAACACCAAGTCAGAAGCGAAGCAAAATATATCGAAGCATCAGCGAGTCAACCCTCGGAGGTTGAACAACTGCTGGAGGTTACGCGAAAGTCAAAGGTCAGCGACCTTTGACTTGACAAAGTACAGTGCGACAGCAAGGACAAACAACTGACTCGCCACTGAGCAGTTGCCCGAGTCGACACTGTATCGAACCGCAACAGCAATGGTAAAACGGTTATTAGTTATAACCTTTCATATTCCCTTGTATTCTTATAAAAGCTTGTATCTCTTTGTTTTAATTAATCAACTTTGCCCTCACATACCAGCGCAAGGTGGTTCGCAATCCTTTTATTAAACGCTTCCGCTATTACATTGTCCTACCCTTGAATTCTGTCCTGCAAAGATCCAAGGGCTTTTTCTCAGCCCAACAATTACAAGTAGCAGGCCCATCAAGAGTTACAGCATAGAGAAGCATTTGTTTCAACTTCATCACAGGGACATGTTGGAATGCATTCCTCGATCGAAACACAGATGGATTGACAAGCTGCCGAACTGCACAGTAAATTCCTACAGTACCCCAATTACAACATGGTGCGTATAATGAGCAGAGCAGAAAAGAGGTGCTGTTGCCTAGAAGGCATTTTCAATGTTCACAAACTACTGGCATTTGTGTAGGTTAATCTCCAGAAGTCATACGAGATCAGAGAGTCCAAGCGACCGCTCCACCGCTTTGCACCACGACGCAAACCTCTGCTCCCTTGCTTCCGACGTAATCAACGGTAGAAACACCACTCCTCTCCCACCATCTGGCGCCCCCCCCTCTGCAGTTTGCTCATCCCCACCAACCGCCCCCCCAAGCACCTCCTCTTCGCTCCACAGACCGACTCCTATGCCTGCGGCGAGTGCTGCTCCCAGCGCTGTTGTCTCGATGTCTGCTGGCCGCTGCACCGGGCATCCGAGAAAGTCAGCCTGATGAAAAGGGCGTAGGGAGAGAGAGCAAAAGAAGAGAAAATGACTATTGAGGGGCCTCAAAACTCTTCGCTCAACAGTCCCACTCCTATGCCTGCGGCAAGTGCTGCTCCCAGTGCTGTTGTCTCGATGTCTGCTGGCCGCTGCACCGGGCATCCGAGGAAGTCGGCCTGGTGGAAAGGAAGGATGGAGGGAGGGAGGGAGAGAGAAAGAGCATGAGAGAATGAATGTTACAGCGAGGCAGGGCAGAACCATGGTCAGAAAGTAATACAGTGGACCCCTCTCGCTAGAACTTCTACCAACACCTGACTTTTGAGTCAGCTAAAAAAGTGACTTTTGAGTCGACTCAAAAGTCACCTCTTTTGAGTCAGCTAAAAAATCCCCTCAATCAACATTTTGCGAGCCTTCCTTTATGTGCAGGCCCGCCCACTCACCCACTCACCTCGCAGGGTTTTTATGTGCAGATGAATCATAGCACTTTATGGGGGACAACTTTAGCAATGTCTCAAAGCCCACCTGTCCGCCTCGCAGGGGTTACATGTGAGAATGATCTATCCACCTTTGCTGTGAAGAACCCCACATGGTATCCCAAACACTTCCACATGCAAACAGTACACAGCTATCTCCCACCCAGCCTCCTAAAGCTCCCATAACCCCCACTTTTGACACGTCTCAATATACATTTCAAATTGAATCCGACACCTCTCGGACCTCTGGCTTCAGCTTATGGTCAAGTGAAAGGTACTTGTTCCATGCCCATTCGTCCCTCCTGTATGTGAGTCCGCGTTGAGTCGCCTTACAATGCAGAAAGCAATTCCGCCAAGTCCACTTGACCCCAGTTTGTCTCACCTGCAGCTGCATGAGCAGGTTGTTGACTGACGCCCCTCCATCCACCCTCAACACAAACTGCTCCTTGCTGCCCTCCCCACTGCCTTCCCTGTTGCTGTCACTGCTGCTGCCAGTGCTCCCAACTCCTGTTGCTCCTGAGTGCACCGCATCAGACCGCATTGCATCTAGCACCTCCCGAGTCTGCAGGGAGAAGATGCGGAGGCAAAAGGAAGAATGGATAGATAAATATGCTGCATGGTGATACAGCTGCCAGTGCTGCCAGCTCCTGTTGCTCCTGACTGCACCGCATCAGACCGCATTGCATCTAGCACCTCCAAAGTCTGCAGGGAGAAGATGCGGAGGCAAAAGGAAGAATGGATGGATAAATATGCTGCATGGTGATACAGCTGCCAGTGCTGCCAGCTCCTGTTACTCCTGACTGCACCGCATCAGACCATTTTGCATCTCGAATCTCCTGAGTCTGCAGGAGCAGGGTGTGAATGGAGGTGGTATGATGGCTGCATGGCTGCATGGCTGCATGGTGAGTCGCATGCATTGTGAGTCGCATGGATGGTGAGTCGCATGCATGGTGAGTCGCATGCATGGTGAGTCGCATGCATGGTGAGTCGCATGCATGGTGAGTCGCATGCATGGTGAGTCGCATGCATGGTGAGTCGCATGCATGGTGAGTCGCATGCATGGTGAGTCGCATGCATGGTGAAACCACCTGTGCTCTCGTGAAGCGGGGCAGACCCATGCTGCTGACCACACTCACATGCTGCTGACCACACTCACATGCTGCTGAACACACTCACATGCTGCTGAACACACTCACATGCTGCTGACCACACTCACATGCTGCTGACCACACTCACATGCTCTCGTGCTGTGCGCTGCTGCTGCACCTGTGGCACAAGCACACGCTCGCTTGCACCAACACCCACCTGCTATGCACCAACACCCACCTGCTATGCACCAACACCCACCTGCTATGCACCAACACCCACCTGCTATGCACCAACACCCACCTGCTATGCACCAACACCCACCTGCTATGCACCAACACCCACCTGCTATGCACCAACACCCACCTGCTATGCACCAACACCCACCTGCTATGCACCAACACCCACCTGCTATGCACCAACACCCACCTGCTATGCACCAACACCCACCTGCTATGCAATTGCTTCCGGAATGGCCCGGGCACTTGTGGCACAAGCTGGAAACACTACCCCCCCACCCATCCACCCATCCACCCATCCACCCATCCACCTGCCATGCGATTGCTTACGGAATGGCCCACCAATTGCCATCCACCTGCTGTTGCACTTGGGGCACAAGCTGGAAACACTACCCATCCACCCATCCACCTGCCATGCGATTGCTTCCAGCACTGCACGTGCAATGTGTGCTCTTGTGGTTGAGCGGGACAGACCGGCACACGGCGACCACACAGCATCCAGGCTAGCACAGAGCCCACCTGCCACGCAATTGCTTCCAGCACCACCCGTGCGATGTGGGTTCGTGTGGTGAGCCGTGAGAGACCCGGCACACAGTGACCACACCACACGCACTTGCCAGCACAACCCACCTGCCTTCACAACCCACCTGCCTTCACAACCCACCTGCCTTCACAACCCACCTGCCTGCACAACCCACCTGCCCTCACAACCCACCTGCCTTCACAACCCACCTGCCTTCACAACCCACCTGCCTTCACAACCCACCTGCCTTCACAACCCACCTGCCTGCACAACCCACCTGCCTTCACAACCCACCTGCCTGCACAACCCACCTGCCCTCACAACCCACCTGCCATGCGATTGCTTCTAGCACGGCCCGGGCAATGTGCGCTCTTGTAGTGAAGCGGGAGAGACCCACTATCACTCCCCTCGCGTCCTCTCTCCATCGAGGTGCAAACAGCCCACTGCGACAGGCGAAGCAGGAGAGGAGAAGATAGAAATTGAGAAGGCAAGAGAAAAGAGTGCAGAAATTATCCCTAGGTTGCCCGTCAGCCACTGCACCCTGAGGAAACAGGCACTTGAAAGCCCGTGCCACTACCCTGAAGACAGGAACAAAGTAAACCTCTCCTGTGTGCGGCACTGAGACACCCATTGTTTCCACCTCCCTTGCATCAGAGATAATCCCGAGGTTGTCCCTCAGCCACTGCACCAGCCAGTTCACCTGGCCAACCACCAGAAAGCCCGTAACACTCACCTGAAGGCCGGCACGAAGTAAAATCCTCCTGTGTGGGGCACCGAAGCAGTAAGGGATTCCACCTCCCTGGCATTGGAGATGATCCCGAGGTTGTCCCTCAGCCACTGCGCCTGAAGGCACGTAACAAAGTAAACCCCTCCTGTATCGGGCACCGAGGCAGCAAGGGCCTCCACCTCCCTGGCTCTCGATATGATCCCGAGGTTGTCCCTTAGCCACTGCACCGCCGCCCCTGCTATGGCTATGCTGCCCTCCAAGGCATAGTAGCACGTGCTACTGCTGTCACTGCTGCAACTGAGGCCCCGTCCCGTATGACCCACCTGAATGCCCCTGGCACTCACCTGAAGGCGGGAACAAAGTAAACCCCTCCCGTATCGGGCACCGAGGCTGCCAGGGCCTCCACGTCCTTGGTGCTGGAGATGATCCCGAGGCTGTCCCTCAGCCACTGCACTGCACATGAAGGCTCATAGCACTCCCTAACACTCACCTGAATGCGGGCACGAAGTAAACCCCTCCCGTGTTTGGCACCGAGGCCGCCAGGGCCTCCACGTCCTTGGTGCTGGAGATGATCCCGAGGTTGTCCCTCAGCCACTGCACTGCTGCCCCTGCTATGGCTATGCTTCCCTCCAAGGCATAGTAGCACGTGCCACTACCGCCACTGCTGCTGCCACCAATGCCGCCGCTGGCACTCCTGCCCATGCCACTACCAGCTTCTTCTGTGTCTCTTGCACTTGTGCTGCCCGCTGTGCCTGCCTCCCCACTGGCATCCTCTCTGGCCTCCGTTTCTCTCCCCTCTTCCTTTCTCCCCAGCTGGAAAGCCACCGTACTGAGCAGGCCATGCTGGGACGTACACACCTGATGGCAACAGGGGCGAGGGGAGAAGAATGGGTGGGTGCGGTGAGTGGGAATGACACTTGAGGCGCCTAGAAATATTCTCTTCAACTGGAAGGCCACTGTACTGAGCAGGCCATGCTGGGACGTACACACCTGATGGCAACAGGGGCGAGGAAAGAGGAACGGGTGGATTGTTGGCCCCTGCTGCCCCTCAAAAATCACCTCTGGCCTTTTCCTTCCTCCACAGCAGGCCATGCTGGGACGTACACACCTGATGGCAACAGGGGCGATGGGAGAGGACAGGGTGGGGCGAGCTGGAAGCCCACTGCACTTTTGAGGCGCCTCAAAAGTCGTCTCGTTACCCGCAATTTTGGGGCGCTTCAAAAATAACCTCTTCAGCTGGAAGACCACCGTACAACTCGGCAGGCCGTGCTGGGATGTGCACGCATCTTGAGGCTCAAGACTTGAGCACCAAGTGTTGAGGAGGATGACTCACCAGAGTCACCAGGGAAGCATCAATCAAGCATGAAGCAGGCCATTCTGAAGGTGGCCTTGGCGTGCCACTGGATACAAATGCGCATAAAAATGGCATCATACGTCACTATGATTACTGTTCCTGCGGCCCTGTGTTGAGCAGCATGAAGCAGCCCGAGACGAAGGTGGCTTTAGCCTCTCCCTGGGTCCCTAGTATGTGCACATGGCTTCACATGGCTTCATATGGCTTCATATGTTACCATCCAGGCGTGATGTAGCTCAGGCGTGTGTTCAGGAGAAAAAGTCACCCACCTGTGGTCCTGTGTTGAGCAGCATGAAACACCCCGTGCCGAAGGTGGCCTTGGCCTGCCCCTGAGAGCACCGCTGCCCCAGCATGGCGGCGTGTTGATCCCCCAGACAGCCTGATAGTGGCACCCCTGCTAGTGGCCATGAAGGGGCTATAGGGGCGATGTGCTCTGTGGTGGGGGAGTGGGGAGAGAGGGGAGGGAGGGAGGTCATAGAGGGAAGGAGAGGAAACGGAGCATGGAGGGAGTGTTGGCCTGTGCGCCTGGGGTGGGAGCACCGCTGCCCCAGCATGGCAGCATGGCAGCATGGCAGCATGGCAGCATGGCAGCATGGCAGCATGGCAGCATGGCAGCATGGCAGCATGGCAGCATGGCAGCATGGCAGCATGGCAGCATGGCAGCATGGCAGCATGGCAGCATGGCAGCATGGCAGCATGGCAGCATGGCAGCATGGCAGCATGGCAGCATGGCAGCATGGCAGCATGGCAGCATGGCAGCATGGCAGCATGGCAGCATGGCAGCATGGCAGCATGGCAGCATGGCAGCATGGCAGCATGGCAGCATGGCAGCATGGCAGCATGGCAGCATGGCAGCATGGCAGCATGGCAGCATGGCAGCATGGCAGCATGGCAGCATGGCAGCATGGCAGCATGGCAGCATGGCAGCATGGCAGCATGGCAGCATGGCAGCATGGCAGCATGGCAGCATGGCAGCATGGCAGCATGGCAGCATGGCAGCATGGCAGCATGGCAGCATGGCAGCATGGCAGCATGGCAGCATGGCAGCATGGCAGCATGGCAGCATGGCAGCATGGCAGCATGGCAGCATGGCAGCATGGCAGCATGGCAGCATGGCAGCATGGCAGCATGGCAGCATGGCAGCATGGCAGCATGGCAGCATGGCAGCAATGGCAGCATGGCAGCATGGCGAAGCATGGCAGCATGGCAGCATGGCAGCATGGCAGCATGGCAAGCATGGCAGCATGGCAGCATGGCAGCATGGCAGCATGGGCAGCATGGCAGCATGGCAGCAATGGCAGCATGGCAGCATGGCAGCATGGCAGCATGGCAGCATGGCAGCATGGCAGCATGGCAGCATGGCAGCATGGCAGCATGGCAGCATGGACATGGCAGCATGGCAGCATGGCAGCATGGCAGCATGGCAGCATGGCAGCATGGCAGCATGGCAGCATGGCAGCATGGCACATGGCAGCATGGCAGCATGGCAGCATGGCAGCATGGCAGCATGGCAGCATGGCAGCATGCTAGCATGGCAGCATGGCAGCATGGCAGCATGGCAGCATGGCAGCATGGGCAGCATGGCAGCATGGCAGCATGGCAGCATGGCAGCATGGCAGCATGGCAGCATGGCAGCATGGCAGCATGGCAGCATGGCAGCATGGCAGCATGGCAGCATGGCAGCATGGCAGCATGGCAGCATGGCAGCATGGCAGCATGGCAGCATGGCAGCATGGCAGCATGGCAGCATGGCAGCATGGCAGCATGGCAGCATGGCAGCATGGCAGCATGGCAGCATGGCAGCATGGCAGCATGGCAGCATGGCAGCATGGCAGCATGGCAGCATGGCAGCATGGCAGCATGGCAGCATGGCAGCATGGCAGCATGGCAGCATGGCAGCATGGCAGCATGGCAGCATGGCAGCATGGCAGCATGGCAGCATGGCAGCATGGCAGCATGGCAGCATGGCAGCATGGCAGCATGGCAGCATGGCAGCATGGCAGCATGGCAGCATGGCAGCATGGCAGCATGGCAGCATGGCAGCATGGCAGCATGGCAGCATGGCAGCATGGCAGCATGGCAGCATGGCAGCATGGCAGCATGGCAGCATGGCAGCATGGCAGCATGGCAGCATGGCAGCATGGCAGCATGGCAGCATGGCAGCATGGCAGCATGGCAGCATGGCAGCATGGCAGCATGGCAGCATGGCAGCATGGCAGCATGGCAGCATGGCAGCATGGCAGCATGGCAGCATGGCAGCATGGCAGCATGGCAGCATGGCAGCATGGCAGCATGGCAGCATGGCAGCATGGCAGCATGGCAGCATGGCAGCATGGCAGCATGGCAGCATGGCAGCATGGCAGCATGGCAGCATGGCAGCATGGCAGCATGGCAGCATGGCAGCATGGCAGCATGGCAGCATGGCAGCATGGCAGCATGGCAGCATGGCAGCATGGCAGCATGGCAGCATGGCAGCATGGCAGCATGGCAGCATGGCAGCATGGCAGCATGGCAGCATGGCAGCATGGCAGCATGGCAGCATGGCAGCATGGCAGCATGGCAGCATGGCAGCATGGCAGCATGGCAGCATGCGCATGGCAGCATGGCAGCATGGCAGCATGGCAGCATGGCAGCATGGCAGCATGGCAGCATGGCAGCATGGCAGCATGGCAGCATGGCAGCATGGCAGCATGGCAGTCATGGCAGCATGGCAGCATGGCAGCATGGCAGCATGGCAGCATGGCAGCATGGCAAGCATGGCATGCAGCATGGCAGCATGGCAGCATGGCAGCATGGCAGCATGGCAGCATGGCAGCATGGCAGCATGGCAGCATGGCAGCATGGCAGCATGGCAGCATGGCAGCATGGCAGCATGGCAGCATGGCAGCATGGCAGCATGGCAGCATGGCAGCATGGCAGCATGGCAGCATGGCAGCATGGCAGCATGGCAGCATGGCAGCATGGCAGCATGGCAGCATGGCAGCATGGCAGCATGGCAGCATGGCAGCATGGCAGCATGGCAGCATGGCAGCATGGCAGCATGGCAGCATGGCAGCATGGCAGCATGGCAGATGGCAGCATGGCAGCATGGCAGCATGGCAGCATGGCAGCATGGCAGCAATGGCAGCATGGCAGCATGGCAGCATGGCAGCATGGCAGCATGGCAGCATGGCAGCCATGGCAGCATGGCAGCATGGCAGCATGGCAGCATGGCAGCATGGCAGCATGGCAGCATGGCAGCATGGCAGCATGGCAGCATGGCAGCATGGCAGCATGGCAGCATGGCAGCATGGCAGCATGGCAGCATGGCAGCATGGCAGCATGGCAGCATGGGCAGCATGGCAGCATGGCAGCATGGCAGCATGGCAGCATGGCAGCATGGCAGCATGGCAGCATGGCAGGCATGGCAGCATGGCAGCATGGCAGCATGGCAGCATGGCAGCATGGCAGCATGGCAGCATGGCAGCATGGCAGCATGCAGCCATGGCAGCATGGCAGCATGGCAGCATGGCAGCATGGCAGCATGGCAGCATGGCAGCATGGCAGCATGGCAGCATGGCAGCATGGCAGCATGGCAGCATGGCAGCATGGCAGCATGGCAGCATGGCAGCATGGCAGCATGGCAGCATGGCAGCATGGCAGCATGGCAGCATGGCAGCATGGCAGCATGGCAGCATGGCAGCATGGCAGCATGGCAGCATGGCAGCATGGCAGCATGGCAGCATGGCAGCATGGCAGCATGGCAGCATGGCAGCATGGCAGCATGGCAGCATGGCAGCATGGCAGCATGGCAGCATGGCAGCATGGCAGCATGGCAGCATGGCAGCATGGCAGCATGGCAGCATGGCAGCATGGCAGCATGGCAGCATGGCAGCATGGCAGCATGGCAGCATGGCAGCATGGCAGCATGGCAGCATGGCAGCATGGCAGCATGGCAGCATGGCAGCATGGCAGCATGGCAGCATGGCAGCATGGCAGCATGGCAGCATGGCAGCATGGCAGCATGGCAGCATGGCAGCATGGCAGCATGGCAGCATGGCAGCATGGCAGCATGGCAGCATGGCAGCATGGCAGCATGGCAGCATGGCAGCATGGCAGCATGGCAGCATGGCAGCATGGCAGCATGGCAGCATGGCAGCATGGCAGCATGGCAGCATGGCAGCATGGCAGCATGGCAGCATGGCAGCATGGCAGCATGGCAGCATGGCAGCATGGCAGCATGGCAGCATGGCAGCATGGCAGCATGGCAGCATGGCAGCATGGCAGCATGGCAGCATGGCAGCATGGCAGCATGGCAGCATGGCAGCATGGCAGCATGGCAGCATGGCAGCATGGCAGCATGGCAGCATGGCAGCATGGCAGCATGGCAGCATGGCAGCATGGCAGCATGGCAGCATGGCAGCATGGCAGCATGGCAGCATGGCAGCATGGCAGCATGGCAGCATGGCAGCATGGCAGCATGGCAGCATGGCAGCATGGCAGCATGGCAGCATGGCAGCATGGCAGCATGGCAGCATGGCAGCATGGCAGCATGGCAGCATGGCAGCATGGCAGCATGGCAGCATGGCAGCATGGCAGCATGGCAGCATGGCAGCATGGCAGCATGGCAGCATTGCAGCATGGGCAGCATGGCAGCATGGCAGCATGGCAGCAGGCCATGGCAGCATGGCAGCATGGGCAGCATGGCAGCATGGCAGCATGGCAGCATGGCAGCATGGCAGCATGGCAGCATGGCAGCATGGCAGCATGGCAGCATTGGCAGCATGGCAAGCATGGCAGCATGGGCAGCATGGCAGCATGGCAGCATGGCAGCATGGCAGCATGGCAGCATGGCAGCATGGCAGCATGGCAGCATGCAGCATGGCAGCATGGCAGCATGGCAGCATGGCAGCATGGCAGCATGGCAGCATGGCAGCATGGCAGCATGGCAGCATGGCAGCATGGCAGCATGGCAGCATGGCAGCATGGCAGCATGGCAGCATGGCAGCATGGCAGCATGGGACCCAAAGCATGGCAGCATGGCAGCATGGCAGCATGGCAGGCAATGCAGCATGGCAGCATGGCAGCATGGCAGCATGGCAGCATGGCAGCATGGCAGCATGGCAGCATGGCAGCATGGCAAGCATGGCGCATGGCAGCATGGCAGCATGGCAGCATGGCAGCATGGCAGCATGGCAGCATGGCAGCATGGCAGCATGGCAGCATGGCAGCATGGCAGCATGGCAGCATGGCAGCATGGCAGCATGGCAGCATGGCAGCATGGCAGCATGGCAGCATGGCAGCATGGCAGCATGGCAGCATGGCAGCATGGCAGCATGGCAGCATGGCAGCATGGCAGCATGGCAGCATGGCAGCATGGCAGCATGGCAGCATGGCAGCATGGCAGCATGGCAGCATGGCAGCATGGCAGCATGGCAGCATGGCAGCATGGCA